GACTCTCAACCACTGTGCCACCAGGGAAGCCCAATGTGTTTTGTTTTTTGTTTCTCATGGTATCCCGAGCAGACTAATACATGACCCCCATTATTATTTGGGTTGATGAGTTTTGTAAATCAGTGTCAACCAGTGCAACTATCTGGAACACAAACAGCCCAGTTGCTTAAGAACTACTTTGATATTTGTGTTCCTTGAACTTTCAATTTCAGGTGTGGTGATTTTTCCTAGAGAATTAGTGGGGAAAAAAAGGAGAAAGCTACATACATTGAGAGGCTGAAATCCTTTCTGGATCTAGGTGGAATACTAAAAGTAAAATACATACAAGTGACTAGGATGCCTATTTACATGGAGTTAAATACCCAATTACAGAGGAACGATGACTTAAATTTTGGTAGAGCCATTCAAAGGAATAATGAAGCATAATGATAATTCAGAAGACTGTAGCAACATGGAAGAAAAATTTCTAAGTGTAGCTCAAGAAGTAGAATACAAATATTTGTTACATTGTAACTATAAAACAGGGTGGAATTTTGGCTGCCTTTGTTTTTGCTTTTTGAATTCCCTTGAAAATTCTTTATTTACAGCACTTCAATGAAATTCATTTTTCACCATTTTGAAAAAAATTCTCCCAATCATGGAGAACTTAAAAAAAAAAAGAGAGAAATAAGGAGAAAAAATTTTTTTCCTCATGTTCCCAGCTCATAGGAACTTTTGACATCTCAGTATCCATCCTTCCAGTCATTTTTCTGTGTACAAGATTTGGTATGTATGTGTTCAGTACATATATAACATTTGTGAGCATCTTCATTATAAATGTGTGTGTGTTTCTTGAGTATCCTGAGTGAGGGATCAGTCCAGATTCATTGGGCCTGTCGCTCACACGACTGAGAAGTCCCTCTTTGGGAGGAAGAATTAAAAATTACTAAGATACAATGAGGTGTTAGGCTTTGGAAGGGGTGAAATAGAGTGAAGGACCTTGGAGTTTCAGCTTCATTTACTTCATGGCCAATCCATGAAACCCGATCCTCAAAACATAATGTAACTGAGGCCTCTCTCAACCAGTGAGCACCTGAGTTTATAGAAAGGACAGTTTCCAGAAGTCTCAGTGAAACAACGAGCTCTCCAGCTCCAGCCTCTGGCCGACAAAGCTGTCTCTTGAGAGTTGGGCTCCTGAGAGGCCACACACAAACTGAGGCATTTCTTAGGGAAACCCTCCCAGGCTTCCCAGAAGTGTAGGG